AGGAAGTGCAGCAAGAGGGCCAGGAGACCTGCTTGGATGGATAAGGAGCTGCTGAGGAAAATTCAAATGAAAAAAGAGGCTTATAATAAGTGGAAGCAAGGACAGGTGGCCTGGAAAGACTACAGGGATGTTGTCCAGGAAGCAAGGGACCAGCTTAGGAAAGCTAAGGCCCAGTTAGAATTAAACTTAGCTAGAGGCATTAAAGATAACAGGAAGGGATTCTACAGGTATATAGCAAATAAAAGACAGACTAGGGAGAATGTAGGCCCCCTCAGGAAGCTCTCGGGAGAACTGGCTACACAGGATTTGGAGAAGGCTGAGGTTCTGAATGACTTCTTTGCCTCGGTCTTCACTGGCAAAGGCTCTGACCAAACCACCCAAGTCTTGGAAGGCAGATGCAGGGACTGTGAGAATGAAGACCTTGTGGCCACTGTAGGAGAGGAACTGATTCGAGGCCATCTTAAAAATCTGAACGTGCACAAGTCCATGGGTCCTGATGAGATCCATCCGAGGGTCCTGAAGGAGCTGGCAAATGAAGTTGAGAAGACACTGGCCATCATATTTGAGAAATCATGGCAGTCAGGTGAAGTTCCCGATGACTGGAAAAAGGGAAATATAACCCCCATTTTCAAGAAGGGGAAAATGGATGACCCGAGGAATTACAGACCAGTCAGTCTCACCTCTGTGCCTGGCAAAATCTTGGAGCAGATTCTCCTGGAAGGCATGCTAAGGCACATGAAAAACAACAAGGTGCTTGGTGACAGCCAGCATGGCTTCACTAAGGGGAAATCCTGCCTGACCAATTTGGTGGCCTTCTATGATGGGGCTACAGAACTGACGGACGGAGGTAGAGCAGTTGATGTCATCTACCTGGACTTGTGTAAAGCGTTTGACACTGCCCACACGACATCCTTGTATCTAAATTGGAGAGACATCAGTTTGATGGATGGACCACTCGGTGAATAAAGAACTGGCTGGATAGCCATATGCAAAGAGTTGTGGTCAATGGCTCAATGTCCAGCTGGAGACCAGTAACGAATGGTGTCCCTCAGGGATCAGTGTTGGGACCGGTCTTGTTTAACATCTTTGTCACTGACATGGACAGTGGGATTGAGTGCGCCCTCAGCAAGTTTGCTGATGACACCAAGCTGTGTGGTTCAGTTGATACCCTGGAGGGAAGGAATGCCATCCAGAGGGACCTTGACACACTTGTGAGGTGGGCTGATGCCAACCTCATAAAGTTTAACCATGCCAAGTGCAAGGTCATACACCTGGGTCAGAGCAATCCCAGGCACAGCTACAGGTTGGGCAGAGAAGAGATTCAGAGCAGCCCTGCAGAGAAGGACTTGGGAGTGTTGGTCAATGAGAAAATGAACATGAGCCGGCAGTGTGCACTTGCAGCCCAGAAAGCCAACCCTATCCTGGGCTGCATCAAAAGGAGCGTGACCAGCAGGTCGAAGGAGGTGATCTTGCCCCTCTGCTCTGCTCTGGTGAGACCTCACTTGGAGTATTGTGTGCTGTTCTGGTGTCCTCAATATAAGAAGGACATGGAACTGTTGGAACAAGTCCAGAGGAGGGCCACGAGGATGATCAGGGGACTGGAGCACCTCCCGTATGAAGACAGGCTGAGGAAGTTGGGTCTGTTCAGCCTGGAGAAGAGAAGGCTGCGTGGAGACCTCATAGCAGCCTTCCAGTATCTGAAGGGGGCCTATAGGGATGCTGGGGAGGGACTCTTCATTAGGAACTGTAGTGATAGGACAAGGGGTAACGGGTTAAAACTTAAACAGGGGAAGTTTAGATTGGATATAAGAAGGAAATTCTTCCCTGTTAGGGTGGTGAGGCACTGGAATGGGTTGCCCAGGGAGGTTGTGAATGCTCCATCCCTGGCAGTGTTCAAGACCAGGTTGAACGAGGCCTTGGGTGATACGGTTTAGCATAAGGTGTCCCTGCCCACGGCAGGGGGGGTTGGAACTAGATGATCTTAAGGTCCTTTCCAACCCTAATTATTGTATGATTCTATAAGGTGACAAAACCAGAAAAAAAAAACAAGATGCCTATTCCAACAGTTTATGAGTTCAATGCCAAAAATTATTAAAATGCGCTGTTTCCATACCTTTAGTGCTGTAAAAAGCAGCACTACTTCATTATTTCTGTGCCAAGAGTGTTCTTTTTTGTGTTTATTCAGTTACACTGTTACCTCTTCTTCCTCTTCATAATTCCTAATTTCCTGTCTTCTCCTTTAGTAGCTATTCTTTCATACCTCCAAAACTCCAGTCTCTCTGAAGTGATTTTTCTCCAAGAAACACCCAAGCCCCACATTCCACTACCCCTACCCCCTTCCCACCCCCTAGCTTCCAGTTTGACTGCCTTTCCTTGCTACAGTGCTATAACCCAGGAGAAGTTGTTATCATATTAAATCTTAACCATTCTATGATTCTATGTTGTTCATAACCTCTGCCGGGATACCAACTCTGCAGGTGGTTTCCTTCAGTAGAAAGAGGATTTTGTAACAACATGGGCAAAGACATCTGTCTTTAGTAATTTATTAGCCAGTGTTCACAGATTTCATTCAGTGCTCAACAATCCTGGAATAAAACCTATTTTGACACAAGGTTATACCATATCCCACCAAAAAATGTTGGAACAGCATCTATCTTAACAAATTCTTAGTTATTATCTATGGTTTTGCGGGGTTTATTTCAAAGAAGCATTATTAAAAGCCAAATTTAATTTAAAAAAAAAAAACAACAAAAAACCAAAACCCGAAACCAGTAAAAAAACACTTCAGGAAGAAAACAGTTTATAAGTATGGCCATTGAGATCACTATAAAAGGCTCTACTGTGCAGCTGCAGAAAGGAGCCAACAAAGTGCCACTGCCAGGGTGAACTGAGCTCACAAAGCAGTAGTTTAACTCTTCCCTTGGAAAGATAAGCTAATCTGGAGTCCAGACACATAATTCTTGAATATTTGCATTAAAACATTTGCCATTTTGTTGATGCTGTAGAATTACTCTTTCACTGTGCCACACTCGAGGTGGCACTGAACCTTTGTAGCTGTACTAGCCCAGAAAGGATAATTTTTAAAATTGGGTGACCCTTTCAAACACAAATGCCTTAGAGAAAGGGGACTGAAAAAACAATCCAAATCTGCCTGAAAGGGCTGGAGACCAAATTCAAATCCCCAGAACAGGAGGAAAAGAATGACAGTGCTTGCTCAGTCTTAGAGCCCAAGTGTGCTCACAGACGTCATCTAGATGCCTTGATAGGACAGTCTGAGTCGTCGATCTCTCCAGTATGCCATCTACTTCTTACAAAGTTACCTTCATCATTGTAAATTCAGCAGAATAAGGCTGGTATACTCTGGAGCACAATGCATTAGCTTAAACTGAGCTAATGCATCTGAGAAGATGAGTACAAACTTGTATTAGCCTGATCAATCTGTAAATATGACAGACTCTGTAAGAAGTTAACTGAGACACAGGCCTATGTATGGGGCGGCAGGTGCCAGCAACAGAAAGGAAGCCTGGACAGAAAGAGGAGGCAAGTGGTAAGTTCTCCTCACAAATCCATCAGCGCATGCATAACAGCATCTAAATCCCAAGAGAACAGTGATACATGACTCCTCTCACAAGACAGAGATATAATCGTCCGTTTAGTTGCAGATGACAAAGTGGTAAACTACTTTCACAAGAGAATAAAACTTTATTTGAAGCTGTTGTTGGTGAGTAACACCAGTTACCAAAACCAGCCTAAACCAGCAAGTTTTCAGGAAGGATGAAGAAAATGAGGTGGGAACAATACACAGAGGTTTCTTTAGCCCTACGTCTGAAGTAAAGAGAACTTTTACGTAGATGCTTTGGAAATCACATACCTGCTTTTGCTATCACATGTCAATTAAAAAAAAAAAAAAATTAAAGCTCTAGGAAACTGTAAGCTTACTTCTATGGAAAGTCTCTTGTGGAAATGGTGGTGTCAGCTGACACCCAGAGCTAAGCGTAGATGTGGACATCTAAAGCAATTGCACATGAGGTTTTGTTTGATTCAGCAGAGCCTATGCTCAAAAAGCCTGCTAAGGCAGAGAGCCAGCACCACTTCTACTTCACTGAAGAGAGCCTTAACGGCACAGTGTCCCATCTTGGTACCTTCTAAATGCCAGTTTCATAAGCAGTATCTATCTAAAGGTACTTTACTGGATGCATGTTTGGTTTCTTTCCTATTCTTGATTTGGTTGATGTAGTAGGGAAGCCTGGAATTTCCAAGAACAGAGCAACAGAGTATTTGTCTCATGGAAAGCAGAAAAGAATCAATTCCAGTCTTCAAGACATGTGGCTCCCAGACTGTGCCTCTACTCACAACAGTGCAATCATTCAAGTTCTATTCTTAAAACTGAAACCATGAGATTTCACTCCCTTTGGAAGAATGCCCAATTCCTGCTTATGTACACTGATGGCTTGGCACAGCTCAGGTTGATACGTCTTACATGAAGGTGTCTCCATGAAGTAAAGTTAGAAACAGGCGAGCTGGTCCTTGAACACAAAAGCCTTCCAACAGTCATTTTCCCCTTTCAGCATGCTAAAGAGGACTGAGAGAAAGTATCAAAGAAAGCATTCACCAGTGAAGAGCATGGAACACTTGCCAGTCTGCACTATTTAAACAAAAGAGACCAAACATAAAATGTGAGGAGTAAAGCTCTGACTTGAAACAGGGAGAGTCTTGTCTCAAGCTCTCTAAAATACCCAGTGATTTGGCTGCAAAATGTTTCAATTTTCATTAGAAGTCAGTACTGTGATGAAACCTTACTGTGTACTATATACTCTCCATATGTAGCTAACATCTGATGTAGGATCACACAAAAAACATGTCACAGGTCAGAAATTGCACTGCCTGCATCCTGAGGCAAACAAAGGAAAAAGAAATGTGAGAAAGAAAAAAAGTCCCCCAGTTTTACTTCTCTCAGCATATTGACAGAAATTAGTTTCTATAGGAAGGGAATTGCACTGTTTGCAAAGCAATCCTCTAGGATTTATTGATCTTTAAGAAAAATCTCATTAAGCAGAATAAGGAAAATTTACAACAGGTATGGGAAAACAAAACAATCTCTTGGGATCTTCACCAGGCCGAAACAGGATTAGCTTTGTAGTTTCTGTAATCTTCCTCACAGAAGAATGCTAATTCAGTCTCATTTGCTAGAACAAATAAAAAATAAATATTTAGCACAGCAGTAAATGAATCATCCAGCAACCAGCTATTTAGAACCTTAGAAAACAACTAAAAAAATTGAATTTTCAGTCAAAGACAATTATAAATCACCACACACTTCACCCCCCTTATTTTTGCAAAAAAGATTCTAGTATTAAAGATGTCATTTAATGATGCTGCAAACCAAATAAAAAAGAAACAAACAAAGAAAAAAACCACACAATAAACCCAAGAACCTGAATATATAGAAGTAAACATGTACACAAGCCTCCTCAAGATTTGTTTAACACAGCCTTCACAGAATTGTTTGTATAAGCATTCAACAAATTAAGTGACTGCATTTCTAACACCTTCAAATGCTAGAAAAATAATGAAGCGTGATTTTACCTTTCTTTTGTGCATTTTTCTGTTAGGAAAGGGAGAAGGAAACTATTTTTTCTATTAAATTAGCCTGTAGGTATAATAATTTAATACTTAGAGGATCAGTAGAATATTTTACAGATCACTTTACATTCTCCCTCATGACACATCAAAATATGTGTCTGAAGAAGTTAATTTTTTGCCCTGATGATGATTAATTCATGAGGCTTCAACAATATGCAAAGTGAAAGACACAAATTGGCTTCTCCAGCAATACCTTCAAATACCTCTAATTATTCACAGGGGATATGGTAGAGGTAAAGGACCCACAAAGGTTCAGAGCAGTCACAATTCTTTCAACCCAGTAGGTCAAGGACTTCCTCTTCTAAAACAATAAGTCAGCAACATTACTAATTCAGAACAGAGACAAATCTGATGGAAAGCCTTCACAATTATTAAACATGGAATTCTTTAAGGTGCTGAGCCAATAAGTTCCACATTTGTTTTTTAAATTAAACCTGAAGTTAATGAAGTCTGCCTGTCTTGTAAAAAAAGGAAAAAAAGAGCAGAAGGGGTTCAGAATCTCAACTAGAAAACAGACAAGACTGTTTGCAATGAATACTGAACACTTGATTAACATACACCCTGCTTTAAAAAAAAAAAAAATAAAAAAAAATCAGGCAAGCATTAACTTTGCTGGCTAGATAATAACTGTAATAATAATCACTACCACAGAGGCTTTCCCGAGGATACTTATCTAATGTCCTCATAATTTATAACTCTCTAGCCCAACCCTGTAAAGTGCCAAGGGCAATCAACTACAGCTTAGAAAAAAGTGTTCTCTGTGTCTCAGAATTTCCCAGGTTTTCTAACAGCAATTTTCTGCTTTAGTCTAGGAAATCTTGTCCAGACTAGATATTGGAAAAATGTAATATGTCAAGAGGAGATTTCAAATTTTCTTACTGATTTAAATGAAACTGTACAAAATGCAGACTAGAGTAGTATCTGCTATCAGTCCTCATTTCCTTGGTTCCACTCTTTTCCACTTCTTGTTGAAGAAAAGTAAAATCTTCAAGATTTTACTATAAAGAACCCAATCCTAACTTAGCTAATTCTTTTGTCAAGATACACTGGAAAAATACCAAATTCAAAATGGCAAAATGGCACACTGCATTTTACAGAATGAGAGGTTTTCTTTTGTATTACAAATACCCAGTATATACTAATGACTAACTGCTGCTAGTTATTCTGAAAACAGCTTTACAGTTTTCTGCCCTGAATAAGCCACCACTTTCTTTGTAGAGAGACACCGAACAAGCTGGTCTACTCTGATTTCCTTTCACTGTAAAATTTACTCTGATGTTTTGACATGTTTTTGAAGATCACATCCAACTCTTTCACTGTTGTAGCTACAAACCTAGCTTCAAAGATGGATATATAGACATATATTTATCACTACCTTTTTAAAAGAAGGCAGCTGTAGACAATGTAATTTCTAATTCAACATTTAGTACTGTCATCAGTACTGAACTGCATTACCTCTTATGCCTTCGGTAGATAAAAATCATGTTTAAATGAATCTTCTGCTAACTAAATTACAAATCTGTAAGACTTGAATGCCAGTAATAGTCCTTCCTGAGGAACCTTTTTTATTCTCCCCTCCAGATAAAAAGACCTAGTTTAGTACAGCCAGAGAATAACTATCATTCATATCATAGGAACACCCAAAGACTTTAGGAAAGGTGTATTTAGGCCAGTTGCAGTGCTGCCCAGAATAAAACATTAGAGAGACATCCCAAGTCACTTAAAATCAGAAAGTAAATGGGAGAAAACAAAAGAGCCAAGAAACCTGAGAAAGAAATCCCATTCACTAGCTGGGGAGCAATCAGAGGGCATTGGGAGCAGGACGGAGCTCTCTCTGTGAAACCCCTGCACTTAGAGCACAGGCACTTATGTGTTCCAGCTAGGCAAATCAGATTCAAATGAGTGAATGTCCATATCAGGGTGGAATGGAACTACATCCCTTAAGTACCCTGCTGCCACAAAGTCATTCAGCTACATTTATTAGAAGCCCAAAGGACATCCAGGGACCATCAATTTTATCATGACAGACATGTCTTTACATTATTACCAAAAGACATGCCCTATATGTAGTCCCCTGTCAAAATGTGAGAAATCAGGTCAAGCTTTAAGTCTTTGCTATGTTCAGCACATTCTGTAAACGATACTGCTTGAGTTTTCCTGAGCAATCTGGCTATCAGGCACTGTATGCTTCACATTAAACAAATCTAATCTTATTTCATTATTCCATGCTGGTTCCATTACTTACATTTCTAACCAAAACATCAGCTTAAATGTTACTGATAAGACTAAGCAGACATGGTACTAATAACCTATCTGTCAATCATTTAAAATTACTCTCAGCAGAATTATAAGCGTACCCTCTAAAAATCACAATTTGCATTCTGAACATTTGGAGTGCAGATACCTGCTGCCCTCAGTCCAATGATCTGAATGCACATTATCCCCCCTTCTTCCCTGAATAATTATCAAGTAGTGTAAAGAGCATCAGGAATAGCATTTACTTTTCAGCAGGCTATCCAAACATAATCAGCCAGTTATCAGTTTAATGACAACCACAATGAACAGCACCTTCAGTCAATACAAATGCACACCTACCTATTCCAGCTGCTTTCAGCGTACTGTCTTCTTTCAAAACCAGTTTGTCATCATCTTCCAAACTCACTACAAGTTCACCAGTCTACAAATCAGAGAACCAGAATACAAAGATAAGAATTCGCTGACTGTCTCTTCCCAGTCTTGTTTGACAGTGCAGAGATCTGCCTGCACTAAAGCATGTAAAAGGGGAAGAACACAGCTAATAATCATACCTTAGACTTGTGTGCTTGGTGAATAATCTTCATTGTATCTGAAAGAAAATACATTTTCCTAAAATAAGGCTTAATAGGCAGGAAATACTGAAAGTTGTACTTGGGGAAAAAGAGACAAAAGGATAAGGTTTGAAATCTTTTATTACTAACAATTTTGTGTATTAAACCTAAAAGAAAACATCTTAATTTCCCAGTGCTGCAGCCACAGTCAAACCAGTCAATCCAACATTACACTACCACGTCCTATTGGGCTTCTTTCTGCTGGGTGAATTACAACTAACTAATGACCATCCCAATTGCCAGTCAAAACACACCAATTTAAGTGCCAGTTAGGGTGTTTTAACCTAACAGGTTTTACACATGCAACTGGGGCAGGACAAACCACATTTATGCACTGTCAACTACTACAGTTAATTTGATAAGCAGCAAGCGATTAACCTAACCATTTCAGACCTTTCCTTGAAATTTTCCTCCTCATGAAGAAAGCACCCATGGTAGAAATTTTGTTAAGCAAGTCTATTTTCCATGACCATGTACAGCCTCTCCTCTTCTTAATGCTATACCCTCTTTAATAATATTTACCTCTGATATGTTTGTGCAGTGTGGCACTTTAAGAAATTATGCTAAAAAAAAAAAAAAAGAAATATTGCTTTCTTCTGGCAGTGTGGGCAGGGCTTTGTTAACAGAAGGGAAAAACAGGGGAAAATAATGTGGTCACTAAAGCAACCAGCTGAGTGCAAAAATCCAGAGGAAATGGAAGTCAGAAGATGCCCATGTAGTGCTAAACAAAAAAACCCAAGCAAACAAGAGCAACTCCAGACAGATTCCAAAGCATCCGTTTGAACAAGTTCAGAGTAACACTCAACCCCTTCCGAGCAATGAAGCAAAAACCTGTTCTGCTTGCCTGTGCATTTGCTGTTCTAGTTCGTTAGCTCTGTTTCTAGTTTCTGTTCATTAAGTGAACACTATGTGTTGAAATACTCTGGTAAGAAAAGGATTTAAGAAAGTTAAATATAGGCTTAAACAAATTTCAAACTATCGAGAGCTAGTGTTCAGATGTTCAGAACAACAGAGATCACATTCCCAATTCAGAAGTTTGCTTCCATACCACTCCAGCCCATTTTTAGTATTCTATTTAAAACATTAAACAAGGTAAAGATGACTCTGTATTCCCACTGCAGAGGTCACTGAGAAGGCAGGCTTAGCACAGAATTGTAGAATAATTAGGGTTGGAAAGGACCTTAAGATCATCAAGTTCCAATGCACCTGCCATGGGCAGGGACACCTCACACTAAACCATGTCACCCAAGGCTTTGTCCAACCTGGCATAATAATTGCAGTATTAGAAGCAAGACATACATTAAATAGCAGTTATCAGGATCCATGTTGCATAGAAGCACTGCAAAAATACCAAGCAATCACAGAAACAAAATACTACAATCATGAAACCTTTCTACCACAGCAAATACAATCCAGCCTTTGCCCGTTAGTTTTAAGCGTCTTCACTTACTTTGTCACATTCCCTTTAATCTTTGCCCAGTCATTCTCTGAACTATTTTCTCAATTTTACTTGTTCACAAATGCAGCAGTTTACCATGTCTTCATCTGAGCTACTAAATGGCTTTTGTAACTGTTACAGAGATGAAGCTGCAGTCTCTTCTCATCCTATCTAAAGCCATGTCCTCCAAACAGCCTTTGCTATTTCATCCCCATTTAGTTCCATTCAGTCATATTCCCAAATTTTTATCATTCCTTTTCTCATAATAGATCTTCCATGACAACTGATTAAGAAATAGCTTTCTAAATCTGATTCTGTGAACTATCTATCATATTGATCCACATTCACAGAAGGAAAAAAAAAAAAAAATGAGAAGCAGCCTGTAAGACAAGTTGACACCCAGGCTGCCACCATCAGTGAAAAGATGGCAATGACAGGGTACGAAGATGAGAAGATTGACTAAGAAGAGTTTGACCAAAGACAAAAACGACATGTGTAAAGAAATTAAGAGAAATGTAAGTCATAAGCTTTGAGATGTGAGTTAGAGCACCAAATGAAGAGGAAAAATGCAATGGTATTACACATGATGCTGAGATAACAAAATGGTGCTGAATTCTGGAGAGAAGGAAGCTTAAACAGATAAAGTGAGACATAGCCAGGTCCAACTGAGATTTCTGCCACTGCCAAAGTGGAAAGAAAAATCTGACTCTCAGTAGCACAATTCATGCAGAAGTCTCACTGCCCTTTCATCACCAAAACACAAGATGGACAGTAGACAACAAAAGAGATGGCAAAGACATGAACCTGGATGATGCACAGACTGAAGGAAAGGTGAGGAATTTGGCTGTGATTTTTCCCATGTGTAAATCTCCACTCAGCTAGCACTGTCACAGTGAAAGTAGGCCTGCACTAACTGGTGTAACAGGTTTTAAAGTTCTGCAGTGTTTTTCACACACATTAGTCCTACACCTGCAATCAGGTGGTAAGCCACAACATATGGCTTGGGAAAAACTAAACATGCTCTAAGTGATGAAAGAACTGATACAACTGATAGCTGCAGTTCTAGATAAGACGCCCTCATTTAGCCAAAGCCACAGATACTAGAGGGAGGAAGGGCACCTCCAAGTTCAAACTTACAGTTACCTAGATTTATATTTTAAGAACTTAATATATTAAAAATAATAGTAACGTTCAAATCCTTGCCACTGATATATTATGGATCTTCTAACTCTTTATCTGCCTTCATTTTGCACTGTTTCATCATCAGCAAGAACACAGAATGAAATGCTTGGCTTTTCTTGATTTTGCTTTTTTTTTTTTTTAAAGGCAAATAGAGTCTATTACCATTCACATGTATTAAGTAGGTTCCTCATTCAATTCTTTGAATCACTGTAGAGGAATCAGTTTGTCAACTCCAAGAACATGGAAGATGAAGGATCACTTGCAGCAAAACTCCAAGGGAATTTTTAGAATTGCCAAGTTTAGGAAAAGATAAGTTACTGACATCCAAATTAACAAACTCCCAGAAAGGCAGTAATTTAATCTATTTTGAAAGTATATTCTGTCCCAAACAGATGAATTGCTTATGTTCATGCCAGTCTTCACAGACAGCAAATATACACACAGCTTTACATTAGAGGATAATGACAGCCTAAATTTCACACCAAGCTATTTCATTCCATCAGCTTGTACTTGTATTTGTATTTAAAAAGCTTTCATATCTACCCTGAGCACAGTTCCCCTGCTTCTCCTAAATTGTGTAAACTATTTAAGTATACAAGTCCTAAGCATTTTCTATTTACTGTCTTCAGTTCTTGCTTCACTATCCTTTCTGACTTCACAATTAGTAGAGACTGAAATATGTAAGCACATGAAGAACTACAATTTCAAAGCACCCGAGATCACAAGTTGCTTGCTAGAATAAAAACAGAGTTAAAAGGCACTTATACATGTAATTTAAAAGTAATACCAATACCCATTGGCATCAATTAGCAAATAATATATAACATGTAGCCTAATTAAAAGATTAATATAGAACTTCAAAATAATGGTGAAGTTTTGTAGACATGATCCCAGTGGCATAATCCCAGCTACAAGAGCTGGACAGAGTTGCAAACGTAGGCAGGCACTACCATTGACATGAGTATTCTACAGCAGTTACCCTTTAAATTCTATAAAAACTGGTATAAAATGTTACATCTGCATTTTACAGAAATTAAAACAAAGAGGGAGAGAAACAACACCTACCATACTTGTAATTTTTAAAAGGAGGAGGAAGACCTGTTCTTGAAGACACATCTGTTAAAAAAAAACCACAAAGTTAATACAAAGTTGTCTTTTTTTATTTCCAACATTTTATTTTCCATTATTGTGCAATGTATGCATCCTGGACATCTTTTACATCAAAATAAATCTGCAATACATAAGACTTGTTTGAGAATCAAATACTAAAACAAAACTTTTGGCTCAGATTCTATAGTAACTCCATATCTGATTAACTTCACTTAAACACGAAGTCCCTCTAAACAAAACAGCCCATGAGGACAGTGAGTGGATGCAATTAGGACATCATCACAGGAGTCTGATCCTTCAGAAATCTGCCAGGAACATCCTGTTAATGGTTTGCACAGCATCTCTCTTTACCTTATAGGAACTGCTGACAACTGTCATTCATAACTTAATTGTTCAGTAAACACAGCCATTTGAAACAGCTAGGAAAAGAAAGCCAAACTGTAGAAAATTAACCCTCTAGCCACATGCAGGACACAGACCATAAGCAACTGTGAGAACACCAACTTCTTTCCCGGTGCCACGGTTCCCAGCGACACCCAGGGATTCAACCAGGGCCTTGGAAGGTCTAGCCAGCCATGGGGTGCTTGGCAACAAGGTGGCTGAAACTGTAATTACACCAGTAGTTTAACAATTTATCTCAAACTCTCCCTTCAAAACAGATTATAGTAAAGGAAAGAACGTATCTTTTGGACCAGGAACAGCATTATCCATCTGTGGAATGAGGTTCCAAAAAGTCTTGTTCAAGACACCAGCTTTGTCTCAAATAACAGTGAATTGCAGTTCTGCACACATCAAAAGCAAGTTTCTTAGCATTGTTTTTTATTTTCTTATTCATAACAACAGCGGTACCATATGTTCTGGAAATGTTTCTAAAAGCATCCTAGGATCTTGCCATGCCTATCCCTGTCTAGAAGTACAGAAGCGGCTAAAAACACAATACAGACATGGAGCCCAAGACAATGTCCTAGGAGTTGCTCAGATGTTATCAGCTATAATAATTCAAGACTTGTTTAATCTGACTTCATGCAAAAAATCCAATTATGTTATTTTGCACCTTTTGAATGTCTCCATTTAGGTGGGTAGAAATACATCTGCAAGACTAGGGCAACACCCTACCTACTGAATCACTACATGGGCTAGTCTACATTAATCTTTAGATACACTCTCACATTCAACAAGGCTTCTAAAACATAAAGCCCACTAATGAGTAAATCTACACCACAAAGCCCAAGACAGAAACAGAAACTTAGAAGCAAACATGCGCAGTGAGACTTCACAGTGTCAAAAACAATTTTTCAAGATCCTATCTTCTCACAGATAGCAAACAGACTTGCATTCCCACATTCCACATATTGGTGTACTTCCTATGAACCAAGACTCTCTAAATTCTATTAATTTACTTCTGTTAATTTATGAATAGCTGCTTGACAGCATTACTCAAGAACCCTGAGGCACTGAGCCGAATGCAGCAATGTCCTCCTCTCTTTCTGACTAAGCGTGGGGATTTGGGCAGGAAGAGCAGTCTATCCAAATTTAGGCATGGCACACTGACCATGGAAGCTGTTGTTAACTCCAGACTTCTCATCCAAGAGAAGAAAGCACACAAATCTGGCATCTCTACCAATGCTGCAGAATTCCCATTCATTTGCTCCCCTCCACTTTCTTGTGCAGAGACAGCAACACATAGGACTGAAACGAACTGCCTTGGGACTGAACTGCCCCTTACCATTCCGCACAAAACTAACGAACTGCTTTACTGTCTGATCCAAGTTGACTCCATGATACACCACAGGTCTGAAATTCCGGTGTTCAAAAGAACGAACAAGACGAACTGTGATGGTTGAGCTTTCTGCTGACATGAGAATTAATTCTGAATAACCTGGAAAACATTAAAGAGAGGGATTATTGCCCTTCCTCCATGTATGACCACAGCTAGAAAACAAGGTGCAGGTGGGCCTCATGCAAAGATTAAAACATGGCAAGAAATGCAATAGCTTTATGCCTTTCAGGACATCACTTCTATTATTTCTACAGAAGCAGTAACAGGCTCTCAAAACAAACAGGGTTACCTAGGATAGTACTGATACTGCACACCAAATAGCCCTCTATTTGTAGCTGTGCTGTGTAATATAGCACCAGACTTCCGATTAAACACACAAAAACCTTACAGTTAAATGCAAGTATGTAGTTCGGTGTTTAAGTGACTGAAGACTCTGCTGGGCAAGTAACTTTGTGCTATAAAAGAATATACTAACATGAACAGAACCAAAACCTTTTTAATATACTTATGTTGTAGAGAACATAATACCTTGAAAAATGCTCATTTTAATTTCCCTACAGGAAGTGGAAAAGCCTCCCCCATGTACAAATAACTCTCTACATAGTTAAGGGATTTCATTTAATTTATAATAGTAGTTCTCTAGAATGGCTCTACAGGGCTTATACTACTTCAACAAAGCACAGAATCTGTAACAGAATCCCCTTATCAACCCAAACCCTTCTTCAAACAAGCCAATGTGTGGCTCCATTGGGCTCTCTCTCTCTGCAGGAAAACAAGCTGTTTCTCATCTCTACAATCTTTTCTATTTTTGGTGCTTGGTATCCCTTAACAACCTCACTTTCTGGTCACAAGCTAAACTGCCAGGGCCGCTGCAGCAACTAGCAAGGACTGCAGACTTAAGTGCTGCAATATCAGCCAGGGGTACAGCACAACCTCTGCATCGCTTATCCTTTAGCAGCCACTTCAGTCACCATTTCCAGTCCTGCAAGGGATTCTCTTACCTATCGATCCCTCTATGTTCTTTTTGTGTGTGTCTTTCTCTCCTCACCCCACCCTTGTTGCGCGAGGGGAGATTATTTAAACTCCGCACCATCATACAGATATCCAAGTACCTTCCAGTCTGTGCTGTATTTATCCTAGCTGTATCATGACAAAGCAAACCGGCAATACTTTCTTTAAATACTTTCTGCACTGTGGGGACACAGAGCTTCCACATCACAGGGCAACTAGCTTTTACATCCCCTTGGTTAATAATTCCCCAAGGTCCAATTCCATTTTCATTGTAAATAAACTGTGATAAATAAATGACACCAATAAAGAGAAGATGGCTTACACCTGAATATAACTAGATTAATATTAAACACCAAAGATCGGTATTTTCTTGATGCTATTCTACAAGGGCGTGAGATGTATCAGCGTAAAGGGGACAGCATGCAATTCACTTTCTCCTGAACGGCATTCAAGATCGTTGCAGGAATACAGATTTGGGAGCACAGACAACTGGAAATCGCCGATTATCACATTTACTGTACAGACCCCACAGATAGATCCGATTTAGGGCTGCGACGAAGCACTACCCTGCGCCTCCTCAGGGCAGACCCTCCTTGGGACACCGACGGCCGATACCTCTTGAGAAGAGACACCTCCCCCAGCCTGCCCCGCTCCTGCCCTCCGTTAGCGGCACCAGGACCGCGGCGGAACCCTGTTCACCCCAGCACATCTACTCAAGGCCAAGCACCGGGCCCTCGGCCCTCACAGCAAAAGATCCCGCCCGAAACGCTCGCCAACATCCCGCAGCCTTACTACAGACTTCTCGCCAGCACTTCCGGGTCCCTTTCCTCACCCCACTTCATACAGTCCCACCAATCACATCCTTACAGAACCACGCACCGCGCAGCGGGATTGGCTGCTAGGCACCCGCACCCCGACCCCGACCCCGACCCCGACCCCGACCCCGACCCCGACCCCGACCCCGACCCCGACCCCGACGCAGAACCGCAGCAATCCTCTCCCTCCCTCCAAAGCCCAGCCTTTGAGCAGCACCTCGGTCCACCACCCGCGCCGCCTCTGCATTGGCCCTTTGCCTGCCTTCTCCCCGCCTCCGCCGAGCTTCGATTGGCTCCTTGCTTGCCGTGGCGCTAGGATTGGCCAGCGGGCGCTCTGGCGAGAGGTGAGGCGGCCGAGCGGCAGGGGTGGAGCGCCTGGACGGGGCGGGGTGTCGGGAGTGTGGTGGACTTGTCGCTATGTCTGAGGTACGGTGCTGGGTCGGTGGGGAACGAGGGGTCGTGGTGGGTGCCTCCTTTCCCCCTAAGTGTGGTGGCAGCTGCAGCCTGCGGGTGCTCACCCTAGCCTCTCCCGGGGGCCTTTTCCCTCTCCAGGCTGCGTTTCAGAAGGCTGCCGAGGAGGTGAAGCAGCTCAAGTCCCAGCCCACGGACCAGGAGATGCTCGACGTCTACAGTCTCTATAAACAGGCTACGGTGGGCGACGTGAACACGGGTAGGTACCGGTTCTGTCCCCTACCGGGCAGGGTAATGGTGGCGGCGGTTGGGCAGCGCTGCTCCGCGACCCTTTTGGGCTCTGCGCCTGTGCTTGGGGCCCTGGCTGGCGGGGGAGAGGCCGCTGCCGTCAGGGCCGAGCTGGAGGCACTCTGGGAGGCAAAACCTCTCCCCTGTTGCGTGTCTCGCTTCCTGCAGTCCCACGGGTTAGCCAAAATGACTCCGTACCGACTTGGCATAGATTTATATGCAGGCAGGCATAAGTTGAACCGATAAGGGTTTGTGCAACTTGTGGATTTTAGATTAACCCAGCTGCGGTCTTCTAAATCGTACAGCAACAGTCTGAGAATCGTTTCTGTTATTAGTTTTGTATGAATATTAGGTTTGGGACTTCAGAAGTCCTCTATCATCAAGTAGCTGCCTAGGTTAAGGAATGCTGCCTGAATACAAACTGTTAGCAGTTAAACAGGCGTAAACAGCGAAGCAAACTATATAAGTGCAGAACTGCTGTATGGGTTGGAGGGGGGCAGTTTGTTTAAACTGGATTGGTTGCTAAAAATAGTATTGGAAAGCCAAAACAGAAGAACCGGAGAAAGTTTTTATAGTAGCTGCAATTAAATATCATCTCTTGGAAAAATTGTAGCAGAAATATCCCTGCAGGTGTCTGTGCAAAATTTCTCCTGCTACTTCTGTTACTACACTTCTGCCAGCAGCAGCTCAGCCTAGGAGTAGTATTTAGAATAAAGTCTGTCTCTATTGACCTTGTGTAACGCTTGAGTGACTAGAATTAGAAAGGGGAAAAGGTCATTTGTTTGGAGTGCTCGCCTCCTGACCCAGTTGCTGGTGAAATTTATTGTGTGTTGCTTGGATTAAAAGCTGGCAATGAAGTGTATGGGACCTTGCAGTCTCTTTCCCAAGATGGGCAACATGGACCTTGGTTTTAAGATATGATCCTTTTGGTGTGGCTGGACCTTGGCATTATTAATGTTTTTCAAGGTGAAATGGTGCTCTGGAGCTGTTAATATACCAACGTTTCTATAATTTGCTGCATTCTTGTGTAGCAGTGGATAACATGAATTGCTGGAAAATCAGTCTGTGTAAGAGTAAGCTAATAGGCTTCCTGCTGCAGAGAAGCAAAGCTGCCAATTAGCTCCTCAGGTCATATTGCCAAGGGTATTTTTGTGGCTAATGTCCAGTTCCATTTGTTAAGCTTAAGAATTGTCTTTAAGGAATCACTCGGGAAGGGAGAACTGAGCAGGGACTTTACATGAAGGTAGTTAAAGTTCAAAGCTGGCACCCCTAAATGACAGAACAAAATAAGACCTATATGTTAAACACATAACATTAGCTGGATGATAATGGGTTCTAAGCTGTATGCTACTAGCTTTTGTTTTCATGTATCTGTGTAAGAGACCTTAGGGCATTTCTGCTTTACTGTGGAGCTGATGTTCTTTAATTGGATAGCTGTCACACAATAGCAGTCTCTTCAGAAAGTAGAATAAAACCATATCACACCACTGCTGCTGTTTTAAGGCAACTGGAGAATATCTCAGTTGCCACCAATAGCGTTACAACAAGCTCTCTTGAGGTGATCTCCTGACCACAGGTTAGTAAGTAATAGCTGCAAAGACCAATTGTTTTATTTTATCTTAGTTAAGAGCTAAATAGCCTTCAGGAAAGGAGTGGGTACTACACTACAGTAGTAGTATAGTACCTATTACAGTACCTACGCCCAGACCACACAAACTAATTCTTATCTATTGCTTCTCTTCTCTCTTTCAGACCGCCCTGGCATGCTGGACTTCAAAGGCAAAGCAAAGTGGGATGCCTGGAATGCATTAAAAGGTAAGTGTCTACTTAAAAAATGAAAAATAAGTAAATAAAGTCACAGACAAACTAATCAGAAAAGGTGTATGTGGTCCAGCAAGAAATAAAATAGCATTGCCTTATAAGACAAGAGTTCTGGAACTTCAGAATGCTGTGGTAATAAACTCTTTTGACTACTTCTATGAAGCAGGAGTAATCCTGAAAAATGTAGCCTGTGTGAAAGGGAATTAAGGTGCAAAATGCCCAGCTGGCCCAAGATGTTACACAAAGGAGAACTGCCACAGCAGCAGAAACCCAAATTGTTTTCCAAGTCCCAGCCTAGTACCCCAGAGACCAAGCTATCCACCCAGTTGTTTCTTTTAAAGCTTTCCTAACAGGGAGTTGCAGCTGTGCTCTCCTGTAAATGAGGAGCCAAACAAGTGATCTTATGTATGAAAATGGGATTTTTCTGGTGTTTTAAGGACTACATCTAAATGCAGCCAAAGCTGACTGAATAGCTGTCCTGTAATAATTTTGAATGGAGTTAATAAGACTAAACACTGTTACTGTCTGTACAAATATAACTTTGCTTTGAAACACTATTTCTTCATGACTGCTGAATACATTTGTTTAACACTCTAATACTAGATTTGCAGTGAAGTGACCTTCTTGGCTCCTTTGCACTCTGGTAGCATGTGGTTACGTGCTATAGCAAGGAGTTTGCATGTAAAGGTATCTGACTGCTCCTGTCTTTTGTCCTTCAGGAATGTCCAAAGAAGATGCAATGAAAGCTTACATAGCAAAAGTGGAAGAGCTAAAGGGCAAATATGGCATCTGAGGACTGGATATAGCAACAACTTGAACACCTGAAACATGCCTTATTTCTAATATTGTGGAAAAATGCTTTCTGAGAATGACAAATAATTTTAAATACCTAGTATATTGCAGTCGGTTACACTCATGCCTGTAGTTCAGGGGAAGTTATGTAACCACCTAATGTACTGACACGGTATAAATTCCTTCTGGGAACAAAATCTGGAACTCATTAAAGTGCATTTGGTACTTTAGCGGTTGTGATGGTCATCCCTCAATTGCCATGTTGCAGCTGCCGAAGGCCCTTTGCAAGGCGCAAGGCAGCCTCTCCAGTCCTTGTGCCACTAGAGGGGGCTCAGTAATCTGTTTCGTGTAACGCACAGCATCCAGACCAATCCGGTGATGCCTGATCCTGCTTTAGCTCGTTTCTCGCGTAGATGAATGGTGACTCGCAAAACCTGGAGCACCACGAAGATTATCGTGAAAAGGCTAGGTCTAGTGCTGTGTGTACTAAAACAAGACGCTTGATATTGGTTGCCTGGGATTTTCAGAGATTCACTCAACAATTGCCAAAAAATCTTTCATAAATGCTTCTTAGAGGTGTTATTTCCCAACAACATTAGGCTTCTGCAGAGAAGGCAAACACTGCAGCTGGACACAAAACCTTTGTAAAAGAAAAGGCTCTGCAGACATCAGTGTCGATGCCCTTGATACTTTGCTGCTGTAGACAGAGAGTACTGGTGCTGCCATATAATGAGGCTACAGTGAGGAGCGAATCAGCTGTATATAAGCTGTCTTAACACTAGCAAGGCTGTTCAAACAGGAAGTCTTACAGTCGCCATCAGCAAGTTTTACTACAAAGCCTGCAGTTGTGACCACCTCTAGTAGGCGTTTACCTGTTTTGGTCTATCCTTGTATAGTCTCCTGGAGCTGCTGATGCAGAAAAGGGAGACTGCTTTTAGTGATGTTGAACTGTTCCAGAATAGAGCATATGAAAATCAAGTCCCAGATTTTCACAGGAATAATGTGTTCTAATTCCAGCTGTACTGGTTAACCTCTGAACAAGTGAGGGCTTCAGATAAGCACTTGATTTATAGAAATACATAGGGATGAAACCTGTTGTTACATATCTGTTTAGGTAAATACATAGTTCTGTACTAGGTTACACAGGATTTGCTGTGTGTAGTATCTAACTTGTACTTTCTTATGCCACTGGTAAGAAATGGAGAGATAACTTCTTCTCACATGCTTTCAAAATTATAAATCCCTCCCTTTGCTACTTTTAATGGGAAATGCTCTTGGAGCTACTTGCTCATCCTTAAAAATTTGTTACAATAAAGAAGGGTTTGTTCCCTGTTCTCGTAAGGAGAAAGCTGGTTTATTCTTGTTCTTCTGGGTAAGGTAAGTATTTGGGGGATTTTTCCCCCTCTCCTTTTCTATATCTGCTAGTTATTTGAGATAGTGTTGATTACATTCACCTTGTAAAAGAGGGGTAAAAGCAGATGTTCAGTGTGAGAGATCAGTTTAGCTCTTTGCCAGCCCTAAATTCCACAGCCAACTCCTTTTTCACAGCTGTGTTTTGTGAAGCTGTTTATCCTTGGAGGATTCTGCCAGCCT